CAGGGCACCCTCAGTGGCCACACATACCTTATGTCTACTGACTTGTCTCTACCCGACCTGCATGTTACTGAGTCTGTTGCCAGTATACACTGGAAGCGGGCAGGGTTGAGATCTGCTGTGTGGTCTAGCCTGGAGTTCACATCCCCTCTGGGCAGGAGGTCCCTAATTCTAAGTCACTGGTAGCAGGCCCCACTGAACCTGACAGATATTCTATTCCTCTAGCCCAGCTGGGTGGTGGGGACAGGGTGAAAGAGCCAGCCTTTCCCCATCCTGGGCTGACTATGGATAGAATACAGGGCCATCATGGACCTGGTTTTGTGACCACCCTCTGATAGAAGAAGGTCTGCTCCTGAGCCTCCTGGCAAAACAAAGAAACAACAAAAACAACACAGTAGATAGGCATGAGGGATCTTACTGGGGTCACAGGAATGTTTCAGAACTGAGTAATGACAACTGCTGCACCACTTGGCCAATTTATTTAAGCAATCATTGAAATATACACTCAAAATAGGTGATTTATGTGATATATAAAATTTGCCTTCACTAAAAAAGAAAAGAAAGTGGTGGTGGTGAGGGGGTTCTCCCCTGATGTCTCAGTGGTAAAGAACCAGTCTGATTTGCTTGCCAATGTAGGAAATGTGAGTTTGATCCTTGGGTGGGGAAGGTCCCCCCTGGAGAAGAAAATGCAACCCACTCCAGTATTCTTGCCCGGAAAATTCCATGGACAGAGGAGCCTGGCAGGCTACAGTCTATGGGGTCACAAAGAGTCAGACATGACTTAGCAATTAAACAACAACAAAGTTACAAAAATAAATTTATTTTTTAAAAATTTAAAAACTTAAAAGCAAAACCCCACAATACTCCACAAATACATTGCATCCTAGAACTACCTGAGTGCAACCCCCGACCTGAATTGCTGCCTACAAGTGATATATCAGATTCTTGATATAATCCATTTAGAGCACTGCTTTCCTTCAAGAGTGAGCTAATGCTGAAATGAGAAACAAATGGAGAGAGGGTCTGAATTATCCCGAAATGCCCAAGAGATACCAGAACACCATGCCCTAGGCATCTCTTTTACTCCCCAAATTTTGTTAGAAATACTTTTGTCTGGCTGTCAGAGCAATTTCATACAACCTCAGGCTCTTCCTGCCATTTTACTTTTTCCAAGTTCAACCATTTCAGGTGACTCGGGATGTAAATTCTCCAAATGAAGTTAAAAAAGACTCCACTTTCTAAAAGAAACTCCAAAGAGCCAATGTGGAGAGAAAAAAACCGAAGAGCCTTGGAGAAGGAAACATTTTAGTAAGTTAAGTTGGAAAAGTAAGCGTGAGAACTCTCCCTTCCCAGCTAAGTCAGTGGGGGGAGCTTGAAGGGAAAAGGCTTTTACATGCAAGGCCCATAGTCCATTATAATTGAAAATATGGTGACGCATAAGAGATGATGTTGATTTTAGAATCAGAATGTCAACCAGGTCTTCTCATTTCAGAAAGATATACAGCCCTTAGTGCCCTGAAGTTACCATTGGGCTGAAATTTTTATAAACTCAACTCCAAGTCAAATATTACAGAACTACCAAATGTCACTGAACTACTTATTATGGGGATATACCATTTCCCATTAAATCAAAATATTAAAATGCACTTTCATCTCAAAGTTACTGAAACTCTCTTTGGCAATTCAGCTTCTCTCTCAGGAGCACCTTCAAGCTTATATGAAGGAAGGCAGAAAAAATAAACAGACACCTAGGGATTAAAAACAAAATAAAAACCCTCTTCCCTCTAAATTATCAATGAGAACACTAAAGAAGAATTTTCCACCCAAGAGGACAGCGTTTTATCTCTGAAATATCAGCACTGACCATAATAAATACTCTAGGTAGTTTGTTAGCATTTAATCCATCTGGATATGAACATGAAACGCTGTTATTTTTGCCCCCAACAGTACTGTCAAGCGCCTCCCTCCCACTGGATAGCAAATGCCTTAAAGACACTCCAGCCCAGTTCTATAGCTTTTCATTCAATTAATAAGACTTAGTCCAATGCATTTTGAAACTCCGATCTCCTATCTGATCCACAGACCTTCTGCTCCCCCTGAAAAGGCAAGGCATTCCAGTCTCCTGAAGAAGGGGCCCAGTGTGGTCTGCTCCCCTGTCCTCCTCTTCTTCCCTACTCTTCTGCTTGTGAGAAAGAGAGGCAAGAGAAGAAAAAGAAGACATGTCTCCATACTTAAAGCAAAATATGTTCTCCCAAATAGCTGGTATTCAGTGCTATGGATGCAAGAGGGAGCTCATGACTAAGTTTTCTCACTGATGGGAAAGTTAATTTACATTAATTATCCCAGAAAGATGTACATTCTGGAAATGGCCCCCAGAATCATCAGCCTCAGAGGTCCAAGGCCCTGAACCATCTCGTATGCAACCTGTGTCACCCCCAACATGTTACCTGCTCCCGGCCTATCTCCATCTTAGGCAAAGTAGCAGTCCTCTCTTCCACTGGTCTATCCCCTTAAGTGATGCTCCAGCACACAGTTGATGCGGTCTTCCAACATGCCTCCTGGAAAGACCTTATGCTTCAGAAAGTCTTCCCATGAAATGGGACAACCTCTTTCAGTTGTCAATCAGTTGGTGACATTTTCCTCTATGCCCCAAAAGGTCCCCAGAAAGACTACAGTTCCAGAAGTTGTCTATGCTTGAAGGTAATTTCACCGGCAGGCATATATGGAATCCAGCTTAGAAGCAGAAACTTACAAGCCTGTGTGTGTGTGTGTGTGTGTGTGTGTGTGTGTTGGGGGGTGGGGGGGTGTGTGTCTTCCAGGCACCTCTTGGCCTGAACATCCCCCAGCACGCTATCTAGAGCCCCACTGTTCTCTTCTTTATACTAATGGCACAAGAATGAGTCAGCTAAATATTGTTTGTGTAGCTTTAATAAACTCTAAGTTTCTCAGGAATATAACCATCCAATGAATTAAGGCCAGAGTATACTGTCTTGTTCAGAACTTCACCAGAAGAATGCCACCATTTCTTAACAGTGCATTCCCCCAGCATTGATCATGGTATCTGTGCCAATACAGATATCATGATTTGTCAATACAACACACCTGGATCCATCTGCATTTGTAGCTGTGAAATTCACAGCAAGCATCTAATTCACTATCTCTTCTAGTATAAGCTGGGTGCAAGCATCAAATGTTATTTTATAATACATTATTTTCCTTTTGGTTTCTTTATATTTCAGTTAAGGCATTACACTGATTTTGTTAAATTAAGTATACAAGCAAGTAATGATATCAACAGATTTCATTTCAGGATAATAATGGGAGAACTACAAAATATATGTTGTAAAAAGGAGCCATTGGTTCTGAAGCAATGCAAACCAGTGGTCTAGATTCACGTTCCTTTCTGCTTATTTCCCTGTTACGCGCCCTGACCCTTTAGTCGAACTCAGCTGGGTCCAAGCTCCAGTCTTAGCAGCTCGAGGGAATGTTGTTTTCCCTTGAGCCAGAGTCATGGGAAGGGGGCAGCTCTGGCCTGTCCAGCATAATTGACAAAAAAACTTGGGGCTTGCCAGGTGGAACAGTTGGTAAGGAATCCTCCTGCCAATGCAGGAGACACAAGTTGGATTCTTGGGTCAGGAAGATCCCCTGGAGAAGGAAATGGCAACATACTCCAGTATTCTTGCCTAGGGAATCTTACAGTCAGAGGAGCCTAGCAGGCTACAGTCCATGGGTAGGGGCGGGGAAGTGGGGGTCGCAGAGTCAGACCCGACTGAGTGACAGAGCACACAACGAGAAAGGGGGTTTCGGGGTCAGAGGCAGGGCTATTAGCCTCCTGCCCCCCACCCACCCCCAGCACAGTCCACATCACCAGAAAGCACCTCAGGAGCTTCCCCTCCCAACACTAGCCTCAGAAGCACTGAATTTGGGTGTTTCCCTATGCAGAGTATCAAAGCCTTAACACTCAGAACTGAATGAGCATATCCTTAGATCCAGAAGTAAATGTTTTGACTCTGACAGATTTCCACTTGCTCATTTTTGGTGAACTATGTGCATAGCCTCGGAATCTCAGCCCAGCCAGAAGTCAGCATCTCTCTTGTTCACCCACTTCCCTGTTGGGGGCAGAACTCCATGGGCCTTATCACATGGAGCTATCTCACTCTCATTGATGACAAAGTTTTTCCAACTAAAAACTCATCCTTGCCTCTCAATACATATGCATCTGATATCATCAACTGTAAATCACTTTCAATGATCTGTTTTGGAAAAGGAGGCATGCTTTATACATGCAGGACTTCTACAATCTAGGGCTTAAGAGAATACTGACAGGAGTAAGGAAGATCCACTGAGAGACACAGGAGACTGTACTGGGCAGAGCATCAGACCTGCAGTAGCTGATGGTTGGGCATCCCTGGTGGCTCAGTGATAAGAATCTGTCTGCACTGCAGGAGCTGCAGGACACTTGGGTTTGATCCCCGGGTGGAGAAGATGCCCTCGAGGAGGGTATGGCATCCCACTCCAGTATTCTTGCCTGGAGAATGCCATGGACAGAGGAGCCCGGTCGGCTGCCGTCCATAGGGTCCCAAAGAGTTGGAACACAACTGAAGTAACTTAGCATGCATGCACACAGTTGATGGTTACAACTTAATTCTCAGCATTGCAAGGACAGATGATGTTCTCCCAGATAGGTTGTATTCAGTGCTACAGATTAAAGAGTGAGTCTCATAACTAAGCCTTTTCATTTATGGGAAAGTTAATTTAATTATCCCATAAGGATATACACTCTGGAAATGGCCCCCCAGAATCATCAGCCTCAGAGGTTCAAGGCCCTGAGCCATCTTGCTTCCCAATCCCAAACCTGTCTCATCCCCAACATGTCATCTGCCCCAGCCTGGCTCCAGGTCCCCATTCCTGAATGCACCAGTTCATGCCAATGATAGCAGTACCTAGACTGTGCTGACTTCCTAACCAAATCCTTATACTCCATCAGCCCTACTCAGGTGGCCATGCACTGGGAAGATGGGCACTGGGAGCCCAGGGATGAAGAAGAAAGGTGAGTCAAGGGAAACGCCACCCCAGCCCTATCTCCACAAAGCAACAAGCTGGGTTCTAGGGAACCCCAGCCATTACCCACCCACCTGCCTGTGCTAGACCCTAAACCGCTGCGGACACAGGATGAGGATGCCACAGACCATGACTTCAAGGATCAGACAGTTTAGGAGTAAGCAGGTGGGCAAGCTGCTAAGTGACACAGTGAAAGTACATATGGGAGCTATGCAATGGAGGCGGGGGTGGGGAGTGGTAAGAATACCCTCCGGGAGAGCCCAGGGATGCATCCTAGAGGAGGCACCAGGCTGCCAGGCAAGGCAGAAGCAAATAGAGCAGGGTGTGTGCACTGGCACAGAAGCACAAGACGGCCCAGGAGGCAGGGAACTGAGTTCCTTCCTCGGGTCAGGCTGAAGCAGGAGGAGAAAATATGAGAGAAGATTCACTCATCTGCTCACTTAGGCACTGCGCCAGGAGCTGGGCCCTGTGCACATAAGCACACCTTCTAGCCCAGGAACAGGCGGGCACCCACTAAAGAAAGGCCTTCTGTGATAAGCCAAGGAAAGTAGGGCTTCCCAGGTGGCACGAGTAGTAAAGAATCTGTCTGCCAATGCAGGAGGCACAAGGGATACAAACTCAGTCCCTGGGTAGGAAAGATCCCCTGGAGGAAAAAATGGCTACCCCCTCCAGTATTCTTGCCTGGAGGAGCCTGGCAGGCTACAGTCCATGGGGTCACACAGAGGCAGATATGACTGAACATCTGAGTGCACACAAGGAGTAGACATTATCCTGAAAGTGATGAAGTGACACAGAGGAATTCTGACCCGGGGTGTTGGACTGGGTGTGACAAGGGCTGAATTGGATTAAAGAGGAATCAGTCCACAAGCTGGAGGGATAGAGAAGTACAGTCAGGCCAGGAGAATCCAAATTACCAAGCGCTATCTGAGCAGTGACACTCTGCCTCCCCACCACGCCCCAGCCTCGCCCTCCATCCTGAGACGGCTGCAGTAGAAAGAGTCAGGGGTACAGATGGTGCCTGTCACAAGAAGCAAGGACCAGAGAAAAAACAGTCCAGGGCACTGAAGAACACATGGAGAACAACAGACAGAGAAGGAGCACGGTGCTACAGACTGCTGAGTTAGGTGTGCTGGCTGCTGCTCAGGAGATACCCTGTCCTGCCTTTAAGCAGATACAATCAAGCTAGAGAACTAGGTTGAGTCCTTGCAGCTGATGGAGAGGAGACACTGGGCTGGATGGCCATATTCAGGCAGTGCTTCTGTGGTTGAATCTGAGCACCCCAACTGCACACCTGAGGCTCTTGCATTTCAATGGACATTGACTCCCTTCCTTGCCTCCTAGGGTACCTACATAAGTGTTCAGGTGGTTGGCTGGGGATTGGCAGGACTTGAGTTTCCCAGAAATCAAGGTTGCCTTAGTTCTGGGAAGAAAGGATGTTCAAGTGCACATCTTCACTCACAGCCATGGAAACCACACACACTAAGCACCATGGTGTCTCCATGCCAAGACCTAAGAGGGAAAAGCCATCAAGACCCGGTAGAGCTGGCAGTCAGTACGGGCAGGAGCCCAGCTTTTTAAGGGTCCATAGCCGCCACTGCCAGCTTTTGGATGACATCAGTTCAGTTCAGTCGCTCAGTCATGTCCGACTCTTTGCGACCCCATAAACCACAGCACACCAGGCCTCCCTGCCCATCACCAACTCCCGGAGTTTACTCAAACTCATGTTCATCGAGTCAGTGATGCCATCCAGCCATCTCACTCTCTGTTGTTCCTTTCTCCTCCTGCCCCCAATCCCTCCCAGCATCAGGGTTTTTTTCAATGAGTCAACTCTTCGCATGAAGTGGCCAAAGTATTGGATTTCAGCTTCAACATCAGTCCTTCCAATGAGCACCCAGGACTAATCTCCTTTAGGATGGACTGGTAAGGTGGGTCAAATAGACTCACTCCCGGAGGGCTTCCACAATTTGAGCACAGGAGCTAAATCACTCTAATACTGTTTGAGCACCATGACAGAGACCCATCTGTCTCACACGTTCCCCACAGCCTCCAGACAGCCTGCCATGCTACCCCAAATGCCACCAGTGTGCAAAGGCTTAACCCTAGGGGTGGAGCTGTGTTCCCTCTTTCTAAATGCACACATCATCAAGCGAGATCATGCATCATGTCCCATTACCTTAGCTTACAGGAAAGTCAAGAGTGTTTCCTCTCCGATTAGATGATGTAAGTAGAGCATTAAGGCATCAGGTCTAGGATACTTGAGACAGGGGCAATGGCAGCTCCAAATTCCCCTATCAGGGTCCATTTGGTTGGGAGTATGAACAGGTGACTTGTTTTGAAGCTGTGACTGCATAGTGAGCCCTCTGTCTTTAGTAAGATTAGATGGTTCTGATCCACAGAAGTAGCCAGGTCTTCTAAAGATACTTCTATTAACATTTCCCATTGTACTGAGAAAACAGATTGTAAGATTAGGAGGAAGATGATTCTCATTTAATATTGGTGGTATTTTAAGGAGTGGCTTCCGAGAAGCCAAACCTTACCTCCAAAAGCAGTCCTTGGTCCTCCAAGGTTTTGGAGAGAGAGATCCCAGTGGAAACCGGGGAGGAGGAAGAGATAGCTCAGGATGGAAAATGGTGGATGAGAAGAGTGCTGAAGGTGACCCAACAATTTCATCAGCCTTCCCCTTCTCCCTCATGAGCTCTGAGACAAGAGGTGGGATGCATCTGAAAGCAAAACTCCAGGAAAACATCTTCAAGCAAAGATTCTTGGCTAGTGTCTGACTTGAGTTCCTCCACAAAACAGGGCTGGAATTTAAGTACTGGCAGATGGGTAGAGGGGAGGCAGGGGGCTCTTCAAGAAGAAAATATTTTATTCATGATCTCTAGTCAAAAGAGGAATAAGCCACTAAAAAGACTTAAATATCATTTAAAAATTAATACACAAGAAACAACCATCTTGATAATTCTGATGATGGTGCAATAAAGCCAAAATCATTGGTTTGCTTTTGGGGAAAAAAAAATAGCCAATAAAAAGAAAGTGAAATCTATGTCTTGAATGTAAAATTCTTTTTAACTCTATAAATCTCTGATTAGCCTCCTTCCCTGTTCCAAGTGACAACACATGCTCCCACAAACAAACAAAAATACACAAGAAAGGAAGAAATGAAGATGACGGAAGGAAGAAAGGAAAGTAGGAAGGAATGAAAGAAGGAAACTTAATAAACTGCAAACTCAATATCTTCTCTCACTGCCTAGCATTTCTGTGAGTTTCCTGAGTGATGGCTTGTCTTTTAGCTCTTGGCTGAGAGTCCTGATTCTTAATCCCACCATACAGTGTATGGAGGAGAGAATTTTGAGCATTTTGCAGCAGATAAGTGTGCCAAGAAGTGCTGGCAGAGCACTATGAACTGAGATTCCAGGACTGGGTGGGTGCCGTCCTTGCATAAGGACCAGAGTATGTGACCTCCAGAAATAGGGAGAAGCAGTCGCACACTCCAACACTGTTCTCCCACATTCTATGTGATGTCTAACCATTAGTGATACATTCCTTGGGATTAACATTATCCTTGGTAGGTCTGGAACCACTGGCTCCAGGTCAGGCTGTTGTTATCTGAAACACACTGCCTTTCAAAGGGTTTTGGAACAGTGTGAAAATCTGTCCCTAGGAGAGCACTTGCAGGCTGGAGAACTCAGAAGCAGAAAGAGTTGGAAAAACAAACATTCAGAACCACAAACCACCAAACACATCCAAACACACAGTCAATCAAGTTAAGGACATGCATACAGGGTCTCCTCCCTGATTCCTTTTCTTCTTCTTTTTTTTTTTTTTGACATGGACCATTTTTAAAGTCTTTATTGAATTTGTTACAATTGCTTCTGTTTTATGTTTCAGTTTTTTGGCTGCGAGGCATGTAGGATCTTAGCTCCCCAGCCAGGGATCAAACTGAACCCCTGCATTGGAAGGTGAAGTCTTCACCACTAGACCACCAGGGAAGTCCCTCCCCTGAGTCTTCATAAGTGTTTATACTACAAGCCCTGCTCTTTCTCCCCTTTGTGCAATCTCCATGGTCCCATGAGAGAGGGACAGAGCAGGTGACAAGCTGCTACTGAGACCCCGGTCCTCACTCAGCAAATTTTCCTTGAAAAGCAGGCTTTTAATTGGATAGCAAGGGACTCCTCTTCTCTCACACTCTCACTCTCCACCCCAGCAGGTAAAAGGACAGCAATCTTGGCCCCCAACCTGACAGGTCTGAGTAGAGATCCCAGATGAAGAGTCTGGGTCCATTCCCATCCACTTGACCCTCCTTCTTTCTTCTCCTGATAGCCTCCCAAGGTTTTGTTCACCAGCCTGTCCTCAGCAATCAGACGGTCAAAGGCAGAATGAAAAGGAGGAGCTACAGGGGCCCAGGGCAAGATGACCCTCGACACCCCAATGGGGCACTAACTTCCCATTACCCACACCCACTTGAGGCTGCCCTGTCCACACCCAAAGCCAGGGGTGCTGGGGTGCCTTCTGTGAAATAGGCAGAAGCTTCCTCAGAGCATCTAGCCTGAGCATCAGGCAGAAGCATCTCTGGCTTCAGGTGTAGATTGACATGCTAAGTGTTTCCTGACAGCCTGAGAGAGCCTAAATACATAGCTGTGTTCGCAAGCTACAGAAGTCTAGTGCAAACTGTACTGATGCAGGGGAAATCACCAATAATGCACTTTAAGGCCAGAACTTCAATATTTTTGAAGGGTTTCATTTCTCCTCCTTTCCAACTTTGGTATACATACTTACTTAACAAGGGTCTGGGGAGGGTTAATTGAATTAATATATGTAAAGTGCTCAGGGTTTGAAGAGAATACGCAATATAAATGGAAGTGTCACTAAAAAGGTTAATCTAATTTACATCTAACACTTTCAGTTCATGGTGTTAATGAACTATATCCTTTTAGAGAGTGATTAATTTATAGAAATGTGATTATTTTTCCTAATGCTCTATATGGGTCA